TTATTTTTTCTTTTTTCTCCCTGTATTTTGGAGAAGGGTCTGCAGGGTGTGAGGGTGTTCAGGGTCTCACCACTAGATCGACTCGCAGTGATTTGCCTGTTTACAGTCTCCCAAGAGCTGGGATTACAGGTGCGTGCCACCACGCCCAGTCTCAGCGTGCTCTGAGGATGCTGCTGGCAGGGCAAGCCAGCGGATATAAAAGAAATTCTTTAACTCGTTCACTAACGAACAAGTTGTGCCAGGTTGTGCTTACTTTCAGTTTGTGAATTTAACAGTTACTCCTCCCCCTGATGTCCTTTTGCATTAGATTGAGATTGTTATGACAAGAAGAGGGGTTACCATTTATGAAACATTCCGGGAACTGTCATGTAGATACTTGTTAGTCTAAATCTTATATCCCTGATAACAAGACTGTTGCTACTATTTTGTAATGAGGAGTAGAGCCTGAAAGGTAATTATCAGCAAACAAGCATAGTTTATAATACCTAGCAGATTTGTTCAACCAAGATTTAAGCATGAATGTGACCCAAAGTCTCTTTTCACTTAAATTTTGGTGATTCTAGGATATTTAACATTTTTTGCTTACCTGACGTTTGAAAGTGCACACTGTGCTTGTTGTTACAGTAATACAGTGTTGTCTGTTTATCGGCATGTATGTATTCAGATTAAATGAAAGTCACATGTGATATAAATTTTTTATTAAATAGAGCTGAAGTTATTTAAGAAAGTACAGTAATTTGTGAATGTGGATACTTGTCACTAGCAGTCATGTTTTTAAAATAGCACTCTTTCATCCACGTGGCTTTTAAAGTGTCTATGAACAGAATAGACAAATAGTCTGGTGTTTTAATCAACTTTAGGGAATTGCATTGTATTTAATTCAAGTATTTTCAGTTGTAATTTTTCTCAGATCTTTAGTTTCCTGTACACAAGAACAGGGTTTGTATAAATTGACTGGTGTTCTAAGAAGACAATAAATTAAAAACGCAAGGGGCCAGGGAGATGGCTTAGGGTAAAAAGCGCTTCCCTGGCAAGTACAAGAGCCTGAGTTCAATCCCTGGTTCTGGAAAAAAAAATAAAAATAAAAATTAAAAACGCAGTTACTTACAGACATGGAGTAGTGAGTGGTTTTATGACAAGACACAGTAGATCTTTTTTCTTTTCTTTCTTTCTTTTTTTTTTGGTGCAACCAAGGATTGAACTCAGGCCCTTGTGCTTGCGGGGGAAGCACTTATTCCACTGAGCCATCTCCCCAGCCCCTAGACACAGTAGATCTTGTGTTATTTTTTCTCCTGTGACCCTGAGTCAGTGGGTGTTTATGAGAAACAACTAATGAGAGTTAGTCTCATTCTTTATCACATGCACCGGGAGGCTATCCTGTAAGTTTGCTATGTCCTCTTGTTCCCTATCACATGACTGTGAAGAAGAAATAGTGGAGCCAGGAAAGTGCGAGTTGATGTTTATTTCCTGCACTGTTGGAAGAGTGTATTCCCATGAACGCTGTCTTGCCCTTCTTTCCTCTCTTCAGGGCATAAAGCATGTTGATCACTTTGGTTTCATCTGCCGGGAGGCTCCAGAGCCTGGGCTGAGCCAGTACATTTGTTATGTGTTCCAGTGTGCCAGCGAGTCCTTGGTAAGTGACCATCGTCCACGGACTGCTCCCAGCACCTCCACCTTCCAGAGGACACAGCTCCGTGAACCCAAGTCTCATGGGGACAAAAGGGCATCTACAAAACATTTTTACCCCTTACGGCAGTGTAAAAATCGGCAAATAAAAACAAATTGTCATGGAAAGTTTTAAACCTAGATACTTCCTCAAGTT